ATTTCATTCTTTTATCACCTTAGGCTGTTTTATATTAGGGGAATTTAATTCTCTTGTACAGGTTAATCCATTTATCCCAGACCATTTATTGAAAAGACAAGTCTTTCTCCACTGAATTGCTCTCACACTTACATAGAAAAATCAATGGCCAAAGATATATGTTTCTGAACTCAGTTTTCTCCCATTGATCTACTTATTTAGGGATTTTATGATTTAATTTTGCAAGGCTTTTTTTTTTCTTATAATATGTAGCTACTGAAATCCCTGATCAATTTGACTAACAGTTAATGAATACAGGAATTTTCTTTAGTGCAGAAACATAGATTTCCAAGCGCTTGCAAGAAGATTTTGTTGTGTGTGATCTGGGTACATGTCAATGCAGGAGGCAGTTTAAACCTGTCTTAGCTTTAGATTCCTCCTTATACAGAGCCTCAAGGCCAATCAGAGATAAGATCTCAGGGCATTCTTGGATTTTTCCAGAACACATGCAGAACATTTCTCTTGTTCACTGCTATGTGGCCAGAGATCTGTACTTACTACATTATCTAACAACAAAAAGTATTTTTGATTCTAATAAATAATTCCATAACTGTAACTAATCATTTTAATCCTAAATTCTGTTGGAGCAATAAAAATCAGGTTACTTTTTTCAATGCCACAAAGTAGCAAAAGATCCCTCTATTGTTTTTAAAAATACATAAGTAGGGTCTAGAGAGATAGCTCAGTAATTAAGAGCATTTGACTGCTCTTCCAGAGGACTGGGGTTCAATCATGGCAGGTCACAACTGTCTATAACCCCAGTTCTGGGGGATCCAAAATCTTCATACAGATATACATGCAGGCAAAACACCAATGCATATAAAATAAAAATAGATAAATCATTTTAAAATACATAAAGGAGAAAAGACAAATTTAGCCTTTAAGCCCTATAATGAAATGCTCAAGTGACAACAATCTTTAAGAATACACCAATCTTAATTCAATATTAAATTTAGTCTAAACTAAGTATATTATCATCTATAAGTGAGAGTATATCTGTACTTTAAATTAGATAGTATAAACATATTTTATTCATGCCTATTCAAAGTTTTCCTTTATCCATGCTATTCAAGCCATTTAAGCATCTATGGTAATGCTGGTAATGGATTTAAGAAAGGAAAGAAAGAAAATGGATGGCCAGACCATACCTCAATAGTTTAATACAAGTGGCAAGTTTTAAGTCTAGTATACAATTATAGAGATGCAGCAAAATTACCAACAATAAGACCAGCAAACCAGAGTGAATTATGCCACATATTTTCCCATTTAATTTAACACTCCTTCGAGGAATTATTATTTCAGTTTAATAGACAAGAGAATGTAATAGTGAAGAGAGGTTAAGTGACTAGGCCAAACTCACAGAATTTATGAATAATAAGTGACCAGTGCTCTTCTCATTATATGCTGTTTTCACAGAGTTCTTAAAAAGAGCAATCTCAGGCGACTTTTAAAAATTAACAATCTACTCGAGGTACAATACAAATATTTAAATATGCCGCTTTGACCCTCCCTCTAAACTCTGAACCCAAATAGACAGATCCCGTGTTGCAGGTGACTCGAGGCACACAGAGCGACTCTGAAAATTCACTTTCTCCACATATTTTATCTTCCCCTCTCCTACCCATTCTTCAGCCAGATATCTATTGTTACTCTAACCACAATCACCACCACCCCAGGCACTTAGCTCGGAGCTTAACAAGCCCCCTCTAAGAGAGATCACTCCTCTTAGGGACGAATACAAAAACACAGCAAAAATAACCATTACTTCAAACCCAAATGGTAAAAAACAAACAAAACGAAACATGAGATGGACAGGGAAACATCACCTGTTATCCCTGCAGAACAAGACAAACGCAGTTTTCATCCATCTATCTTGTTCTCTAATCTCTAACCTCAACAAAGAGGAAGTCAAAAAGTGAACTGATGGTAAAAGCTGCCCTTTACAAGATAAAGACAACTTCCTTCGTGGCCATTTCTAACAGTGGGCTACCCTGCACGTCATCCTCGAAGAAAAGATGCTGTGTGAAGGTTGAGTCAAATACTCTACTTCACGCTCTTTCTTTTCTTTGCTTCTGATTTGCAACCTGGTTGTACTTGCTCAGCTAAAACCTTACCTGTGGCTCCGAGGCTGGAGCGGGGCTCTCTGCCTCCTCTCTTACTCTACCCAGCCCTGCCTGATTCCCCATTTTATAAAGGGAGGAACCCCACTGAAACCCACTCGTGTGGTAGTTCTCGGTCCTCTGTGCTTCCATAAACTCGAGCCAAAGTTCCTCATCCATCCCCTTTTCAGACAAGGAGCGGTCCACTTTTATGCGCTCCTCCTTGCTGACATACCTTCTCCGCATCTCGTTTCCCTGTCCCTCGGATCATCTCATCCCCGCAGTGTCCTCAATTCTCACATCCTCCTGTCCGCCCCTCACGACCCTTTCCAGTCAGAGCCACAGCTCCTCCTTCCTCAGATGTTTTTCCTTCCCGGATTCCACACCTCACTCGGACAACCTGCCCCTCCAGACTCACTATTCCTTGAACCTCCCCCTTCAGATCTGTCCCGTCGGACTAATTCCTAGTCACACCCGCCGTACCCTCAAAGCGTCAGAGCAGTGACCTCTTCAGACGCCTCCCCTTCGGATTCCTGATCCTCTCAGAGGTCTCCTCCGCTAGACTCCTGATCGCCCCGCACTCCCTCCGACCTGTGCTCCCCGCGGATACCTCCCCGCTCGGACCAGATGCCCTCAGGTGCCTCCTCCCCGGGATGCGCGCCTCCTCCCCAGCCTCCTCCGTCGGACCACATCCCCTCAGCCTGCGCGCACCCCGCACGTCTACCTGCAGCCGTTCGGCCACGCTGATCCGCGTCTGCTGAACGAAGGGGTTGGGCACCGGCGGCGGGAAGAAGGACGCCTGGCGGGGCACCATGGGTGGCCGCAGCCCGCCGTCCCCGACGCCCGCGCCGGGCACTGTGGCCGCCACAGCGGCCGCCTCGGCGCACCGGTTCATGGCGGATTCCGGTGCCGGATCCGAGCAAGGCTGGGGTCTCCGAGCGTGCGGAAGAACGCCGCAGCCCGGCCCCAAGGAAAGCCCCCAGAGACTCCCAGCCCCAGGCGCCACTCCCTGCTTCTGCGCAGGCGCCAGGATCACCTAGCCACTGGTCGCCCCGCCCCCCGGGACGCACCCTGGGCTCTGGCTCCGCCCTGCTAGGTACCTGCTGTCGGAACACAGGCCCCACCTCTTGGAAGCCAATCTAGTAAGTAAACTAGTAAATCCAGGGTGGGTTTTGCTTATCTGTGTTTGATTTCCGATGTGTGTTCCGTTTTGTGTGTGTGTGTGTGTGTGTGTGTGTGTGTGTAAACCTGTTTGATTTTGAGGTGTTTCTAGGTTAAGAAGAGAGGTAAGACAGGAATTTGTACACTCAGTCTCACTCAAAACATGGAATAGCATTGGAGATGACTGTCTTTCAAGGAAATTGAGCTACTGTTTAGAAAGGGGGAAAACAATTGGCTGAACTACTATTTAGAAACTGAACTACTATTTAGAAAAGGGGAAAACATCCACTATGGATGAGGAACTTGACCCACAGAAGGGAAACGATTGCGGCAGTGGCTCCATTTCACACTGAGGAAGTATGAGGCCAGTCTGAACCTGTGTAGGAGGGGGCAGGGGAAGACCAGGCTTGCCCCAGGACCTTCTGCCAGTTGCTAGTTGGTGGAACCCTGACTGGCCAGGGTTGGGGATAGAGATAATGAACCATTCATCCATTCATCCTTGTGGGCTAACTCTGCTCCCAGCAGGCATGAGAGGAGGCGCGGTGGGGAGTGAGAAGTGTCATCCAGGTCCTAGGACAGCTGCTTCTCAGAATTCAGCCATGACAGTACCCCCAAATCTTCCTGCCCTGCCATGTAGTTGTGAGGTCTTGGGTTAGTCACTTAAAGTCTCTAAGCTAGCTGCCTGCTCTAGGAGTGTGTGTTGGGGAAGGTTAATTACTGCCTCATAGGGCTATAGTAAGGCTCAAATAATGCTTATAGCGACACTCAGGAAGTGGTATGGTGGGGAACACAGGAACACAGGAATTCTCTCTCTGAATGGGCACAGAGAACCATAAAAACATCCGCTTTTGCTGGTGTGAAAGCTTCTCATCTGGAGGCTTTTCCGATAGGGCTGTGGCTCCTTTGCCAGCCACTTGCAAGGACCTTCAAGAATCAGAACTGGAGGGCTGGCCACAGGGGAAAAGGTGACTTCAGGCCCACTGAGAGATCTCCTCCAATAATTGGAATAACTCTAGCCCTACCTGGAAAGGCCCAGAGCAAAAGACTACCAGACTATCAGACTGGCAGTCTTTGGAATTCTTTAACAAATCTCTGTGGTGGTGGGGGGGGGAGGGGACTAGAGGTGGGAGGCGTGAAGGAGTAAGCACCCACAGTTATGGCATCTGTGTTTAGAAGGCAAACACATGATCCCCCTCAAAGTGTTTCCTTGGGGAGGGTTTAGGGGTGATGGAAGCTGCTGCTGCCGGGACTCTGGACTAAGAGCTGTGGTGTTTCTCCTGTGATCCTCCTTTGGCCCTAACTCAAGTTCTGTCTCTAGCAGGTGTCTGATCCCCGGACAAACCACTTTCCTCTAGAGCCAGCTGCCTCTCCCCTGGGGTCTGTGAAGGTGACAGTGACAGCTCTTAGAAGAGGAGGTTGTGTGGCTGCTCTCAGCACTATCCTTAGGATGGCTGTCGGTGTAAAAAGAAACAAAAACAAAAGAGAAAGCAAACCTCCAACAGAGCCCCTGTAAGGAAGGACAGAACTGCTGCTCTGTCCCTGCTCTTCCTCCTGCGGATCAGGCACGCAAGCCCATCCACTCCAGGGTTCTCAGTTTGGCAGCTCTGACCTTTGCAGCACACACCACCTGTGCCTTGCACTGAGCACAGATTTGCTCTGTTCACCCTTCTGGCTGTGAGCTGCTAAAGCAGAGGCAAACACTGCCACTCAATTGGTGTCTTTATTTATACTTGTTGGCCATTTCCCATGGGGAACCATTCAAGGGAGAAGCGAGAAGGCTGAGCAGGAAGCCACTGGCTTGGTTCTCCTCCATCCAGTGGAGGAAGTGACTGAGGAGGCCCTAAATGGAGTGAAGAAAGAAACCATTGCTCTGTGGGCTGAGGTGCATCGTGCAGTGACATCAGACAACCTGAGTCCCTCTGTCAGGAAACGCAGTGTAGCGGAAAACTGAAAAGGTTGAAAGACACAAACAAAGTGCATACAAGGCAAACTGTTGAAGCAGTGTGGGTGCCAGGGCAGCTGGAAGTGAGACACCAGGTGTCTCCGATTTCCAATACACACCTGTATCTGTATCCCACTGCCCCATGCCAGGCTGTTGGGCCACCAGTGCCCTCCTAAGACAGTCTCTGTTGACTGAGGATGCTGTGAACCATAAAAAAGATCACAGATGTTGCAAAACCCGCAGTGTGGAGCACCGGGGCAGCCCAAAGGAGGGCTGCATGGAGAATATCCAAGCATCCCCTAGTGGGGGGAACAGGGGGAAGGAGCACCTGGGAGGGACGCAATCAGCACCTTTCTTTGGGCACGGAACGAAGCCACCCTCTGAAATCTTAAGTCACCAGGTAAAGGAGGAGGCTGGTTAACTACAGAGCTGAAGGCAGGGCAGCCAGGCCCCCTCACATCCTTCCCCAGTGCTCTGGGCCTGGTATGTGGTGATGTAGATTGTAGGGCCTGTGGGAACAGGGCCAGCTCAGCAGCCCAGCCAGTCCGATTTGATGCTTCCGAACTTCACGCTCTTCAGACTTTGGTTCTCCAACTTCAGGTAATAAGCACCTTTGAAGAAGTAGCTGTGACCTGGGGAGAGAAGGAAGAGAAACTGGACCACCCTGACCCGACATGGCATAAGGTAGGTCCCTGGGAGCATTCACATTGGCCTGAAAAACTTTTTCAACCAGGGAAGAGTCTCTGGGCTAGAGGAAGAGGAATGGCTCGGCAGCCAGGTCTCTCAGTTGCTGTCTGCTCCTCTCTACGGCAGGGATCAGGGCACCAACCTCTTAGGGCAGCAGTTCTCAACCTGTGGGTCGAGACCCCTCAGTACAGCTCATGACCCCCATCATAAAATTATTTTGTTGCAATGTAAACTGTAAATTTGTTGTGAATCATAACGTAAAGTTTTCCAAAGGTCTTAGGTCACCCCCGTGGAAAGGTCATTTGATCCCCTCCAGGGTTTGCAACTCACATGAGAGCCACTGGCTCAGAGCTCCTGAGTTAAGTCAGGTAATACTCGGCAGTGGCACCTTCCTGAGCACCAGCACCAAGCCATGCACATATCACACATCAGGGGACAGGCCGTGGGAGGCGCCAGCCCACGGGGTTTCTTAGGCCCACACAATGTTTGCTTCACTCTGTCTTAACCCTGAATGAGCTGCCAAGGTGTGAACGCATCCAGCAGTGTCGTATGAAGACTCGGATATCTGGCTTCTCTTTGAACCTCTGAACTGTCTAAAACCACAGGCAGTCATCAGAGGCTGAGAACTCACCCTTCCCTGTCAGTACATCACTGGCCTCTGGTTCCTTACAGCACACACACACACACACACACACACACACACACACACACACACACAC